GTGTGTGTGTGTGTGTGTGTGTGTGTGTGTGTGTGTGTGTGTGTGTGTGTGTGTGTGTGTGTGTGTGTGTGTGTGTGTGTGTGTGTGTGTGTGTGTGTGTGTGTGTGTGTGTGTGTGTGTGTGTGTGTGTGTGTGTGTGTGTGTGTGTGTCCTAGCATTACTATACTTGTGGGGACCTAAATCTGTTTACATAGTCACGTGGGGCTAGCCTCCCTTATGGGGACAAAATGGAGGTCCCCATGAGGGGAATCATTAATTTTAGGGTGAAGACTTGGTTAGGTTAAGGGTTAGGGTTAGGCATGTGTTGGTTATGGTTAAGGTTAGGATAAGTCTCCAGGAAATGCATGTAAGTCAATGTAATGTCCCCTGAAGTGATGTATACATGGTATGTGTGTGTGTGACTGTGTGTTTGTGTGACTGTGTTTGTGTTCATGCATGCCCTTTCGATTCTAGCGTTCACAGGGCTTTGGTGTAAAGAAGAGCGGCGAGAGTGCTTTGACTGGTGGGTGGCACTTCAGTTTCCTCACAGGAAGCGCTTACGTTGATGAATGGCAGTTTTTCCTCAGAGGAAAGAGTGGGTGACAAGAGTTTGTGTTACATTTCACCTTGTTGGTGTGGGAGCCAAATGAACATGCAGACATATTCTGAGACCCTGGAGAATCTAAAGAAAACTCTCCCAGCTGGGCATTAAAACACATCCGACACTTGCCGCCTGCTGCAGATTCTGCGCTGTGTTGCTGCGAGCTAATTGAGGACAACAAAGATGTTGATGAGGATTCAGGGCCATTGCAATATTGATTGTCGTGTTGTTGCTGTTGCCTGGATGGCTGAAGTTGTATAGTATACAAGTGGAGGTAATGGGAACATATCAGTCAGCAGAGGAGGATGTCTGCTGCTTCGATAGTTTGGTCCCTCCTCACACAAACACACTAATTTATAACCTCTCCCTCTGAGAGCTCATGGTGTTCTGAATAGTCTGGCAGAACAAATCGGTGAGGGCTTGGCTGTACAATTACATTGCTTTTTGTTGACTTATCCTCTAGTAAGAGGAATCTTTCTTAACTTTCCATAGATTGACTCATAGAACAGCTTTGAAGTTTTCCTCTGTTTTTTTATTTCAATAGCTGCAGGAAATGATGTGTATGACCAGATGCTGTGATTGGCATGGACAACATGACATACATTCTGTTTTGACAGATACATCTGTGTCTCAGTCCTAAAAAAAAAAAACTTGTCTGGTTTAGAATCACTCTTGGCAGTATAACTCTGTTAAATTATGCCTTTGAGGTTTTCATGGACAACATCAACATGTTTTGAGTTGAGATGGTTCCACATCCTAAGTGACAGAGAGGTTTACCACAGCATAGTTACACAAATAATGTGTTTTGGAGGTTAGATATTTTTTGACCAATAACACATACCTACGTACCTGACAGCAAGAGTTGACTGAAATAGTAAGCAACTTCAACTTATCTCCTCAAGTATTGCAAGGGCTCTTCTGTACCTGCACTTTTAAGAGGAAAAACAATGAAGTAGTCTTACTTTTTTAGAGAACTTTTTACAACAGGGTAACTTTTGATTTGTTTGTTTTAAACAGTTGTGCAACGCGCTGGAACCAATCCTCCTGATTTCTCATGCAGCCATTCTCTACTCATAAATATGCCACAACTCTGCAGTGTGAGAAACAAAACATCTCTATTGGTTCCTTGTGGTTTGCCACTCCTGTATAAAAGGAGGACATATTATGCTCATTTTCAGATTCATATTTGTCTTTTGTGCCTCTACTGTGACATGTTTGTTCCATATTTTAATGATCAAAAAGGTCTTTATTTTTCATACTGCCTGTGCTGCAGCACCTCGTTTCAGCCTAGTCTGCTCTGATTGGTTAGCAGGCCGGCCCTGTTTTATCCCACCTTGGCTCAATAAGTACAAGCAAGAGAGATAGGGATTGGGCATAGGTTGAGCAGGCTGGAAAATAAATGGAGAGAGGAAACAGAGTTTGGGAGAACAAAGCAGTGTGTCAGAGAAATATATTGTTATTTTCTGATGGTTTCCAGTGTAAAGTACAAATAAATACGCCCACACCATGGGTAAAAAAGGCCAGATTGCCAGATTTTCAAATTCTGCTTAGTGAATACTGCATCCCGTACACTGGCCTCTTTGTCTGAGAGTGTAGCTAATCCTCAAACTTCTTCAAAAAGACAAATAGACCTGCTGCCCTTTATACATCTAGAAATGGTCATTGCCTTTGTTGTAGAGACAGAGTGAAAAAGGGGATGACACTCGGTAAATGGTCCCAGGCTGGATCGTTACCCTGCTCTTTCGCTGGGGAACCAAGCCGCAGAACATGGGCTGCCAGCTCCTGCCCTAAACTCTGCGCTGTGATTGGCTAAACCCACTGACCAAAGTCTGACTTCCAGAAACATCCCAAACACAACAAAATAATAAAAAATAAGGGATATCTGAGAGGAATTATTTTTGTTTATGAGTTGTGCAATCAAACAGAAGCCAACATGGATTAATTCATTTAATTTGTAATTCATCAGTGTAATAAAATAAGTGCCTGGAGCCAAAGTGCGTCTGGGATAGAGAGGGAGAGAAAGAAAATGAACAAATCTGTTTGCAGAAGAACTGCAACTGCTTTGGAGAAGAACTCCAATTATTTTTCCCTCTGTTGGAAATGAATGGCGATAAAGATAAAAGGCAAGCAACAACGAGTGATCTCTGAAGGGTGAGCCAAGGTGAACGTTTTGTGTGTGTGTGTGTGTGTGTGTGTGTGTGTGTGTGTGCTCATAAATACAAGATGGATAAAAGCGTCTAACAAGTAACATGTAATGACAAAAGATCCCCTAACAATGTGTTGGAATTTAAATACATAACCAGAGACTGAAAGGAATGAAACGTGACTACAGATTGAATCCACAGCTCTGTATAAACGTCACAAATGGCGTATGTATTGCCATCCTTTGTATTCAACGTTATATATTGCACTGTTTATTCGGCCATCCTTGTCTCATGAGACAAAGGGAAGATGGGAGAGTTGTCCTGCTGACATAATGACCTCCTGTGTAGAGTCTCTTTCCAAGTTAAAAATATCCAAGTGCTTCACAGTTTACATTATGAGAAAAGAAACACATTAGAGAGCATTAATACAGGAAGTACAATATGTGATAATTGCTCTGGTAAATCTCTCTAGTGTATGAATCTAAACGTTTGGCTCTTAAAGGTGGGGTAGGTAAGTTTGAGAAACCAGCTCGAGATCGCTAGAATTTGAAAATACACAACCGGAGAAAATCTGCCACTTCCTTACAGAGCCCCTCCTCCAACACACACGAACGCGCACATGACCAATGAGGGCACGAGATAAGTTTGTGCCCCGATGGAAGGCTGACAGGCAGGTAGGCCATCCAATCCGTTTAGCCGGGCCGGCTAAACGGATTGGTTGTACTTTTTACAGTATTACGGCTTCTACAGAGGACATTTTTTTATGGATTTTTTGTCAAAGCACTTAAGATATTCATTGCTATCGGGATGTTAAGAGCATTCCATGGAATATAACAAAAAGTGTATCTCGAGCCGGTTTCTGAAACTTACCTACCCCACCTTTAAGTGGTATTCGGGAGATTCATAGTGGTTTAAAGTCACTGCTGGTATTGATGTATGAGTATGAAATTGGATATTGCTCAGCGTGAGCAGACCTGCTGCAAAGGTCAGAGATCAGGTCATCAAATTGCTCATCAATCCCAACCTGAAAATTATTTATTAGGTAATAAGGAATTGCAGATGAAGCCGAGAAGCTTAGAAGGATCCAGCCAAGAAGGATCCAGACGGAGAAATAAAGATCCTCACATATTTGTCTGGAGACTTCAGTCAGCATGTGGGTTCCTGCTGTTCTTCTTCGTGGTCCAGCCAGGAATGAGAGCTGCGCGATAAGCTCAACTTGGTCTCTGTCTCTCTGCTTTATGATAACATTAAGTCAGTCAGTAGTTCAAAGCTTGGTTCAACCGTCATGGCACTTTGTAGCTTTTCGATTTGGCCCCACACTAGACTATACGTATCTGTTTTCGATTGGACTTTCCTGGCATTCCACAGAAGTAATCTAGTTTTTCTAAGATTGATATTGAGAAAGTGACAAAAACAAGGCTTGAGCTTGTCTTGAGCAGACAGGACTTCAAGGAAAACCATATATTACAACTTGGGTTTTGATTCTTGTATATCAGGTCGTTGGTTTTCTTACTTTTGACAGCACAACTCAAGTCTTTTTGGAAGAACTATTTGGAAAATGATGTGAATTGAAATGTAACCAGCCTACAAACTCTTTCACCTTATTTCCTTGCTGCAGTTGTGCACCTTTCCAAATATCCCTTGCTGTAGGGATTATTCGAGACCCTTCTTTAACTTCCAAATAAAGTTAATTTGGCCGCATGTTGGGTGTGTGATCCTCAACCTGTCTGATGGTCTGAGTGCTTGTGTTTCATTCTCCATTGGACCTAATCACCATGGTTTTAAGAGTTCAGCACATACTTTGTTGAGCATTATGTTACCAATACAGCCGACGGCCAGAGCAAGAACATAAATCCAAATCAAAAACAGTGGTTATTTTGTATTTGTTTTAGTATTTAAAGAATGTTTGGTCAATATGTGTTCATGAAATGGAACTTCAAATTGCTCTCTGGCCACATCTCTATCATCTCTGTGGGTGATGTCGTTCTACAACAAATGTCTGCTTAATTTCAGGGACATTAATCTCTACATAGCATCACTATGAGAGCCATGCTTGTGTGGAAGTTTCATACATATTGGTATTACTTGACAAGATAACTAGAATAAAGAGAAATCTGTTCAGCTGACTTTCCCTTTCACTCTTCAGCTCTCTCTTACCCTTTTTGTTAATGCTCGGGTCCATGTGAAGAAAAAAGATAGCTTCCTCAGAAGCACCCAAGGTTGACTCACTTCCTCTTTTTGCTTTCTCTCTCTGTGACTCTCCGTCTGTGTCTCAGGTTTGTGGTGCTCCTCTTTAGAGTTTCCTGCTGTTACATGGTAACACAGAGCTGAAGGCAAGAGGTAAGGTTTTCTTTTGTTTTCTTTTGAAACCTGTAGTGTAATGAGTGATAAAATGTGTGACGGCATTGAGAGTTTCTTGTAAAGAGAGGACAGTACAATTGAAAGAGTCTTTTCACAGCAGTACTCGGGTTCATGCCAGGGCATTAGCATGTTGCGGTTATTCAGAGGGAAACAGCTGCTGGGAAGCATCTCATTCTGCTGTTGGAGGTGAGAATCAAGGTGCTAATGGTTGGCACACAGCGCCAGGAGCATCCACCTTAAAGAGCTGTTAAAGAGACACACAGACTAGTAAACACCACTTTGTCTCTGTCTTTTGGCAGCACTGTTTAAACCTTTAGCTCCCAGCATGCTCTTATGTGTGTGTCTGTGTAATGCAGGATGGAACAGAGGGACAGTCTTGCAGCCACAATGGGTGTCACAGAAAGATTTAATGCTCTTCCTGTTCGGCTCCTCCTCCTATCAGCTGATAGTACGAATGCTGATCCTCCCTGCTGACGCCCTCACAGATAAACCATGTTCATTTTGCTCATTTGATAAGCACTTTATTGTCTTTCGAACCTATGCCATGATTAAGCCTTAGATTAACATTCACACTACAGCAAAGGTAATCGAGAATGTTGTGTTGGGGAAATGTTATTATTTGAGACAGGAAGCTTTAACTTAAATTAAATTACACATAACTAGCTTCAGTGGTGGAAAGTTACCAAGTACATTTACTCAAGTATTGTACTTTTTTTTAAAACACTTTTTGTTTAGACTTTATTTATACAGGTGAATCTCATTGAGACACAAGGTCTCATTCTCAAGAGAGACCTGTTCAGTGGTAACACCACCACACAAAGTTACAGACAGACAGGACACTAAACACAGAGGCATATTTGTACTTTGCCAGAGTATTTCCATTTAATGATACTTTATACTTCTACTCCACTACATTTCAGATGAAAAGATGCACTTTTTAATCCACAACATTTATTTAACACACAGTTACTCTGTACATATCAAAACACAATATACTGATATGGCATAAAGCAGTACTGTACTGCTAACCTACATGTATTTCAAGTATATTTACTTAGTACTAAATATGATCCAAATTGACAAACTACAATATTTTAATGCAACTAAAATGTATTTATAATAACAACAATAATATGATACTGTAAAAATATATATTCTGCATAATGTGTACTATTGAAGTACAATAAGATTATACATCTTCTGCACTTAATATTATTCTGAAATCGACCGTTGTGCAGAATGAGTACCTTACTTTTTGTATTTTAAGTGCATTTTGAATCAAATACTTAAGGGCATTTATTTGTAGTTTAGTATTTTAAGACCATAGTATTTTTACTTTTACTTAAGTAAAGGATCTGAGTACTTCTTCCAACATTGACTAGCTTTGTCAATCAGGACCAGCTAAACCTTTCAGCGATCAATAGCAGCAGAGAATATATAACATCTCCAACCTCTATCCCATTTTACCATACTGATAAATATCATAGCACTACATTATGATTACAAAATCTGAAGTTACAGTATTATGCAAAGCTCTTAACTAATGGTTTGAACCAAGTTCTCATTGCGTTTTAAGTTGATCAGTGCAGGGAAAGTTATTTTAAATGTGATAGTACGCCAAGTGTGGCTGTTGTGATTTCAGCTCACAGTTAAATGAAGCCATCTTTCAGGATTTAAGGCTCAAAGCTTTCTCTCCACAGAGAGGTGATTACTAACACTGTTCAATCATTTTCCTTCTTCCTGAAGCTCTGTAGTCTGAAGTCTCTGGTGGATAAGAACAAGCTGGAAGGTCAAAGGTTAAAGTTCAGTACTCATTGGTGTGCTATGAGAGCAGGCGCATTATAATAGGCTGACAGGATTAGTGGCTACAGTCAAACGTCTATAAGGAGTGGAATTATCCCTCTGAGCTCGTCCAACCTAAACATGGTGAACATGAACGCATCTGAGCGCAGCTATGAGGGATGATTTGGGCCATTACACACACACCAGTTTCTTCTGATGATTAGAGGAGATGTTTGTGACCAGGTTCTTCAGTTTATAATAAATAGATGTATTATTTATTCAAGCTCATCGGATCATAACACTGATAACTGAAGATCATTTGTTCATGTCATGCGATCTTCTTCAATTATTGTGCAATGTGCAAGATCACTGTAAAATATGAATATAAAAAATGGTTAGAAGGAAGGTTTGAAATGGTAAAAGTAACGGAATCCTTTAAAGCCTTTTGGGTATTGTGCATATTGTAAATGTGCAGTATGATTAAGGACATTCATGTTTAGATGCTGTGTGTAGGTCTGTTTGTGTCAATAACAATAACACACACACACACAGATGCACACGTACACACACACGCACACACATAAAATGCACCACAACTTCCCGCATACTCATATCGCTCAGTCTTTTACTGACAGTGACTGTGCCACTTTTGAGAATAGTGAGTGGGTGTGTTGACTGGAAACAAGTAGCAGTGACCCAAGACAAGTCCTTTAAACCAAGACATAGTAAAACTCAACGCAGAGCTGTTGGCTCCACAGAGGAGGCTGTTTGAGCCTTCAACATGTTCAGAGCAATCACGCACGACCGGCTCAACACCTAAGGCCTGCAGCCTTAGAGGCAAACCAGAAACATCTGTATACTGTAGGTTTCATTCACCAAATCATTATTGTGGGAGCTTGTACTCACATGTCAGGGAGTTCAGTTCAATTTATTGTGGCTTTATTCAATATCCTTTTTGTATACAATTCCCACAAGCTTAAGATAATTCGTCCCCACTCCACTGGCAAGCTTTCTGTTAGTACACATCTCAATCTAATGTATCACATGTAGTCAGAGAGTTGACTACATGTGGCCTGGCAGCTTAGATACAGGGCATCTTACTACAGCCCCGTGCACATTGTTATGTGACCTTAAAGGGGCCCTATTTTGCTAATTATTTTAGGTTTCATAATATGGTTTAGGACAGGGGTATTCAACTAAAATTCGACGAGGTCCAGTTAGAGAAAATCTCCCCATGCAAAGGTCCGGAACTTCAAAATGTCTAACTTGCTTTATGAATTAGTGTGATATATATTGAAGTAGCCTGTAGCTTTATCAACGTCTGCATGTAATCAACAACTGACTGCCAATCAAATAAAGAAAGTACAATTCAAAAACAACAATATGTATTGTCAATTAGCATTGAACTACACATATATACAGTAAATACTGTGGATATATAATAAATAAAATAGCTTTTGAAAATGTGTGCATCTTAAAAGTGCTTAATTTTAGATAAATAAAATAAAGTGTAGCAGCAGCTTGAGTTTCCCTTTTTCTTTGTTAACCGTTTCACATCATGACTTAACAGTTTCAGCCGATTATAGAACAATATCAGTCTTTACACATCATAACAATTGAACAGTTTCAAAGTTTCTCTTTCTTTCCCTCTTATATTGCAGTCCCTCACTCACTTTGTTCTGTTCAGTGCGAGAATTGAGCTGGAGCTTGTCCTGCCAGGAGTTTAAATCTGGGCTGAAATGGTGTCAGGGCCATTCTCATACACACATGCAGGTGCTCATTGGTTAGCCTGCCCTGTAACCATATTTAGTTTTAATGTTGATCCTGGTGGACTGATCATATTGGACTCTGAGACTGCTTATTTGACCTCAGTTCTGACTTGAGAGGGAATGTTTGGTAAAACACTTTGTGTTTTGTCTCATAGTGGCGTGTTGTCTCTTTTAATGAGCGCCACGGTCTCTGACCAAATGAGACACACTGGTTCTGTGCTCCCAGTGGGCAGGATGAACATGAATGAGTCCACTCAGGGTTAAAAGCTCTGTTCTCACTGTCCACTTTCCTCTTCTCGGAGAGCGCCATGTGTCACTCTCGCCTGTTCACTCTCCTCTCTGCTTCTCTCCCTGGGCCCTTCTCACTTCTCTTATTTTTCATTTCCTCGCTCCTCAGTCTCTGTCTCACCGGAAGTTGATTTGTCTGCGCCATCTTGAGTAGCGTCCCAATGGCCTTATTTTTGCCGGAGGACCGATAATGGCGGAGCGATAACCGAGGAACCATCAGACCATCCTCCGATTAAATCCTAAAACACTCGCCCAGCCCCTTACTGTGTATCGCTCACTGATTGGACGATGCAGCGCATGCACTGATCTGATGCTTCTTGACATGAGAGCAGAGTGAAGAAAATACATGAACCTCACGGGAGTCACTCCTCAGTTTATACCGTGTTTTGTTTCAATTAATGTATCATTTAGTTACAAATATGTGATATATCTGAACAACAAAGTGGTCAAAAATCATTTTATTCATTTTTTGGAAACATTTTCATGATCGCTTTTTTCGTTTTACATTTTCATTTATTGTCATTTCCATTCAGTCAATCATTAAGTGCTATTTAAAATGTTAATTTGCTACATATCCAAACAAACAAAGTGTGCAATCCAATGAATGTTAATCGAACTGGGTTTTGATCAGTGTTGTGCTAGTTACTGAAAACCAGTAACTAGTTACCATTACTAGTTACTTACAAAAAAGTACTGCGTTACTGTGAAAAGTAACGTTTTAGTTATTTAGAAAAAGGGCTCCCATTAATGCCCTTATAGCCTTCATTTCAGTACTGTTATTGCATTGGAGAATAATACAATCTGTTGATCAACTTGACATGCATTATATGCAATCTGGATTGCATCGATATTAGCTGGCTTTCCATTTTTGTATATTCTTTCTCCAGGTAGTTGGAAAAAGTTTTCCGTCCCATATGCCGTGTGCCGCCCGGACATGCTATCATGCTAACTAGCTCCCTGAAAGCGGGTGACTCCACTGTAGCAATAGCCTGCATGTGTTCTACAACATACCGTGCAATGGCTTTATCGACTTTTCCCTGGCTAGCAGTCCCTTGGTTAAAATCCAGCCGCTGTTGCTTAGGTGGAGGTGGAGTGGCGTCGGCTGAGTCTCTGTGGTCTTAGCTACTAGCTTCGTCCCAG